TTGTCGATCTCTCCAAAGCCTTTGACACGGTATGTCACAGGAAATTACTAGAAAAATTGAATCAAATTGGAATCCGTGGCAATGCATTAACATTATTTGAGAGTTAACTTTCTGGTAGGGAGCAGGTGGTAAATATTGAGGGTACAATAAGTTCTCCAAAAATAATTACATACGGAGTTCCTCAGGGAACGGTGCTAGGACCAATACTTTTTACTATTTACATAAATAATCTTATGATACAACCGTCAGTGGGTAAAATATTGAGTTTTGCGGATGATACTGTGATATTGTACCAAGACCATAACTGGAATGACTTGAAAAAAAATGCTGAAAAAGATTTTCAAAATATTATTAACTGGTTTAATTATAACAAACTAACTTTAAACTACGAAAAAACCAAGTACTTACCATTCGCCTCTTATTCAAATGGACTTCCAAGTATGGGACCTCTAACAGTATCCGATAAAATTAAGATTCCAGAAGCTTCGTCTATTAAATATTTAGGTATTGTCATCGATCGACATCTAAGATGGGACCTACATATCTGCAACCTAGTCAATAAATTGAGAGGATTTATATCTAGATTTAAATACCTAAGACAATATTTAAACGTTACTCAATTAAAAATCATCTATTACGGATTAGTGCAATCGCAACTATCATATGGCATCATAGCTTGGGGTGGGGTCAGTGATTCTTATCTAAAAAAGTTAAATGTGGTACAAAAATGGATACTAAAACTTATGTATAATAAAGTGATCGTCTGTTTCTGGATGCAGGAGTTCTAGATATAAGGCAAATATATTGTTTAACTCTCTTAACAAATATTCACAAGGGTAACATAAAATTAATACAAATAGAACGTACCTACAACACAAGACAACTCACTTTCTCTATCCCACGCTGCAGTAAAACCATTGGACAAAGACATTGTAGCTTTATAGGTCCAAAATTATATACTTTAATTCCTGAAAATATAAAAATAATTAAAGAACACAATTTATTTAAATCTATGTTAAAAAAATGGTTATTAAACACACCCAGAAAATTGTTTTATACTTTATTAAATTAATTATTTAAATTTTAAATATATATAAATATATAAATAACTATACTTACCCAAAATAAGACATCCAACCGAATATGACTAATACCCTCTTGTGACTTTCTCGCATTATAATGGACATTGACAAAAAAATCCCGATTTGACATCACCCGATTTTGACGTTTTTAGCCTATAATATACCTACCTAATAATATGTAACAATTTATTTAATTTTACATTATTGTGTAAAAAAAAAAACTTAAATTTGTCAACACAAAAAAAAATTATTATTATAAATTATCACGTACAAGCGGTACACAATGTAAGTACTGCTTCTGTGAATTTGTATGTTTATTTATTTCTTGTCGTTTTTATGAATGTATATTTCAGTAAATAAACATTATTATTATTATTATTATTATTATTATTATATTATTATTATTATTATCCCCATATCGATAATTAGAAGCAAGTATCCTATCGCTATGTGTGTTGTCAGGGATAATAAGGTTTGTTCAAATTCTTTTAGTTTTCTCATGTGGTGGAACTTGAAACAGACCTTAATATGATTAAGCGTTACCACTGTTTTTTTTTTGTTATTTAATTATAAGGTAAATTGCCAGTTATTGACACTATAACTTATACTAGCACCAGGTAGAGTACCAGTAGAGAAAGAAAAGGTGTCAAGAACTGTCAACTACAGAATATACTGATGCAAATCTTGTTTTTAATTAAGTTCCCCACTTCGCCCTGTTGAATGGAGGTTGTCAGCCATTTAAAAAATCTTTTACTTGTTCGATATTTTGTTACTCGATACTTATAAATATTGATATTTTTAACATAATATCGAACAGTATCGATGTCTCTGCCACAAAGTATCTCACATGATACCGGTATCGATACCTTTGACCGATACTTATAACCCTACTCCCAACTATCAAAATACAAAAACAGAGAAGTCATATACTGCCATCCTAGCAAGAGAGGCCTATCTGAAAATTTGTTGTTTTGAAATAATCGAGTTTTTAACTATTTTTAGCAGATAATTTATTATCTTTTAAACCTTTTTTGTGTAACTTTTTAACATTTTAGTACCTTTGATGCAAATAAGATATTCCGTTTCGCTATCAAGAAAGATAAAATGTAGACAAATGCACATAAATTAAAAAAAACTGCTAATTTTGCAGATATAACCTTTCTTGCTAGAACGGCAATATAGAAGTGCTCATGTAGTTCAATAAAGATAAATAACATTTAAATTTGTTACGTTTCAGTAAATTAAGTATTACCATTGCTGGATAGTAGTGACGTTTTGGTGGATAAATACAGCATTTCACTGGACATATACCTATGCCCTTTTGTTGTACGTTCGCTGCACAATACCAATTGGACACACTTTAAAAATGCTTTACAATACAGCAAAATTGCTGTAAGTATGGTCGCCCTAGTGTAATAATATTTTAATCACTAAAAATAAATTTTAAAAATATTGTGTTATAGATTTCCTTTGTGCTGGATTATAATTCTAGTTAAAATCTCAGGAATTTTAGAAGCTAAAGTTATTACAGAATTGGTTGAAGAAGAATATATAACATCTGAAATTATTTCTTTTTCTTTCATAGCAGAATATCATGCTAAAAAACATTGTTCTGTATAAGTTGAACATCCATTATTAAGTATCAAATTTGTAAAAATCAAAATAAATGTTATTATTTCTTTAAAAAACAAAGTAAGTAAAAATCATCTAAAAATAGGTGCAAAGATTTTAACGCGCATATTTTTCATTTTCTTTATACATATTATTTTCTTTAATAATAAACAAGTAAATTTATTATCTACAAAGTTATTTTTAAGGAAGAAACTATATAATTAAGTTCACATATTTATTTATTTATTTGTTCACAGTACGCTACAGATACATAAAGTTCTAAATGGTACATTTTAAATATCAATTAAAATAAAATAAAAAAGAAATTAATAAAATTGTCACAGTATAAAAATGAAGTCAATAGTGTAATGAAAGCTGACGCTTTAAAACAAAAATAAACCTATAAAAATGTCATAATTTGAAAAATACTTATTTTATTTGGACATCAGTCGGTCTACAAATAAATTCTACAAAGAGTTCTATGAGTATTTACATAAAATAGTTTAATCTGCCTAGTAAGTCTGGCAGGAACAAGGAATCTAATAAAATGTACCAGGCTGTCACAACAAAATTCTGGTTTGGTAATCTATATTTTGCGATGGAAGCGTATGGTTATATAGTAGATACTTTGAAAATTAATTTTGTACTCTTTCTAATTTATCAATTTGACAATTGTAGTTAGGTGCCCAAATCACTGAGCAGTATTCTAAAATCCTTCTAACTAAGCAGTTGTAGAGACTCTTCAGAGCTGCCGTGTCATAAATGTGCTTGGTGTTCCTTTTGACCAAGCCCAGCAGTCGAAAAGCTCTATTTACAATTTCTTCCAAATGAGGAATAAACGATAGATCCCTGTCAAAAATAATACCAAGATCATTTAGTTTGCTCAACACTTAGTTCAGAACCTGCAATGACATAATCATGCATAATGATATTAGCTGTTTTATTAAACCTTATGACTTTACATTTATCGATATTCAGTTTAGGCAAGTTATATCGTATTAAAACTATGATTAGTATCAGTTGTAGGAAAATATCTTTTTTAGCATCGTACAACTTCCATCTTAATAAAAATCTAGTGACCTTTGAAATATACCTTATATAAATACACTTTTTACTACTTTTGTAAAATAGCTACTAGTGAACCTTCGCAATATAGGTACCTTATTATACTCTTTCGTGAAGGGTTCAGTGTTTTCGATTCCAGTGAACCTTTGAGATATTCCTTATATGCCCTTTATACCTACTTTTGTCCAATTTGTCAGTGTTTTTTAGCTACCTTATGGTATCACACATGTGTAATTACCTAACTACCTATATTATTAATACCTACCTTTACTTGTATAAATCTGACACCAAAGTGATAAAGAGGGACCCCGAAACCTCCCACCTCCCGAGAGAACATTTTCCAGACATTTTCGTTGAACCGTGTGTGACATGTGCCACATATTCATCAATACTCTAACAAAAATGCCTCATTTGTTAAATAAACAATTAAGAATTTGCGAGCGTACAGAGATTAGATATACTTTTTGTTATAGACGGTTTCCTGAACATTTTGCAGAAAACTGCATCTCAATCGGACCTCTCCGCAAAAAGTTGTCCATTTTCACTTTATTCATGCTAATTTGATGCGACTAAACCTACTAAATATTTATTAAAACAAAAAGCAGCAAATTTTCACAGATTTATTACAAAATGGCGTGTAAATGTTTTTTTATTCTTTTTAAAAATTATTGAAATAAATACTTTTCGAAAGTTTAAAAAAAATCAATGTTTTCCACCTTAAGTTTTGTTATTGTTCGTATTTTCGAAAAATTTCACAAAAATCGGACTAAAAATAAAAGTTTAGAAGGAATTAGAAATGTTCAAGCTGTTCGGTTTGCTCTTAAGGTTCTGGCTTTTATACCGTCTATTCCTTATTTATTAAATTACTTATTATTTCCTTAATTTCTTTTTCATTTAGAGGTGTGAGAAAAAATAATATAAGAAAAATAATACTATAACTATAATAATATAACACTAAAATAATCTCACGTAAAATACTAAACAAAGACGAAGTTATTACTATACCAAAACCTAAAAACAATTTTTTAAATGGCATAGTTATTTTTAGGTTTTAATAACACTGGAATCGATAAAAAATATTGCATTAATAAATTAATTTAAAACAAAAATGGAATTCCTAGAAAAATATTCGATGGTGAAAACGATTATTTTCTTAAATATCCTGTAGATTCCAGATAAACTTTCTGATCGAGCAGTTTTCCCCGCGCAGAATCCAAACTAGTTCCTCCGATTGCAGCGCCGAGAAAAACGACGAAGGAAAACAAGAGTGAAAATATTGAATGAAAATTCGGCCTACAAAATCGACTCTAAAATAATGGAAAAATGTGATTACCAGTGACTAAAGACTATCATTAACAGTGTATACAGCCACAACTAAGACTGAATTTGTACAAAGTAAGCATTTCTGTTTTCAATATTTGAATAATCTTTATTACTTTGGATAGTTTCCTTATCCAAGATCGCTCGTATCAATATTATGATAATTATATTCATGTTATTACAACTTAGGAGTGGCCTTTTGAATGAAATTGATAGGGGTTTGTGTTATAAGAAGGGGTGACGTAGTTTTGAGTAATATAATATACGTAGGGTGAAAAATCAATAAAGAATCAACAGCACATGATAGGAGAATGGACACAGAACTTTTCCATCATATGGAAGATAGTGTACTGCTTATTTTAAAATATTACAATTAATTAAAATTGTTTACATAATTAAGCGGTTTTTATAAAAAAAATATAACGTACTAATATATATCAATTTAGTTTTAAATTTTTAACTGCTACATAAATTTTAGTAAGGAATATTTATGTAGAGTCACTGAAAAATATATGAATTACTTAGCCTACCAGGGAAAAAACAAATGATACTTTATTGTTTTTTGAAGAATAAGTAGTATACATAAGGAAAAATTTATTTGGACAATTAAACATCTTAAAGTTAAAGGCAAATGAAACTAACTTGTATGTGTTGGTTTGGAAGAAGACCGCAACAAATTAAAAATTAACACTTTTTATTATATTAAGGGTCGATTCCACCGTTGTGTTAAACGGAGATTAACATGACATTGTTAATGTAAAAATGTAATTTTAAACTTCGTTTAACACAACGGCGGAATCGGTCCTAAACCAACTAACTCAAAAAGACTATGGTTATCCCAACCAGCGGCGGCTCGTGGTAATTTTATCATTTTTAAGTTCGGTTCAAAACTTTATTTAAGAACCAATATCGCTTTTTTGTTATTTTAGTTTGTATTAAGTGTAGTTATTATTATCAATATACTGTTTTCAAGCCCTACCACTATCAATGAATGAATAAAATGTTATTGTAATATTTGTTTTGTTTTTAATACGTTGAAAACCATATAAAAACATTATTAGTTTTCTTCATATTTTGAAATTATTTTTAAATATATATCAGGTTAGGTAGAAGGCTAGACATTGATTTTTATGAAAAAAAAATTATTATATGAAACTTTACCTGCCATTTTTCAGTTTTTATTGTTTTAATCATTTTCACAATTTGTCACACATGTCAAATTATGTAATATATTTGTTAAATACCTTTTATTGACAAATAAAACAAGTGAACTAAAATGTTTATTTTATAAGATCAGTCTTATCACAATACATAATATTACATAGATACAAACTAAAATAGCGTAGCATTCTTTTGATAAAAATATTTATATATCGGCCTTTGCTGACGACACCGTCATTCTCTTCTCTGACAACTCATGGTACAAAGTCAAACTCAAAGCGGAAATAAGCCTAAAAAATATAAAAAATTGGTTTAATGAAATGAGTCTTACCCTAAATCTGGAAAAAACTAAATTCTTGACATTTTCATGTAATAAAATCAATTTGCCAAATATAGAAACTCTTACTATAAACGAAAATAATAATCTGTGTTCAATAACTAAAGCCGAATCAGTAACTTACCTTGGACTTGAGATTGATCATCACTTAAAATGGGATATGCATATTAACAAATTAACAAAAAAATTAAGATCAATCCTATAAGCAACTAAAAAATATCCTTGGCTTTAAAGAACTTAAAATAATGTACCATGCGCTTGTAGAATCGCATATTCAATATGGCATTGCCGGATGGGGCGGATTATACAGTACGCATTCTAAAAATCTAGAAGTTCTACAAAAATATTTCTTAAAAATCTTATATAATAGAACACGTATCTATTCTACAGAACAACTTTTTAGTGAAACAAATATTTTTGACCTAAAAAAACTCTATTATTATAGAATCCTATCGCTGCAACAAAAAAATAAAAATAAGTTAATTTCTATTGATCATACGCATAATACTAGACACAAACAAAACGCAGAAATTAAAACGGAAAAGGCAAATAAATCAATCGGTCAACGCTCTAATTATTACATTACTCCCAGATTATATTCCCTAGTTCCTCAATCAATAAAAAAAACGAATAATGTATCTTTATATAAAAAGAAAATTAAAACATGGCTTGCAAATTTATCTATTATCGATTTACAAATATGTTTAGGTTTTTTGCATTAGTCTCCACATTTCCACACTCATTCTTTTTTTTATTTATTTTTATCTGCTCTTATAATTGGTCTAATTTATACTCTATATATTATTTTTTTATAATTTATGCTACTAACTAAAAAAAAAAACTATTTCAAATATATTTTTATTGTTTGTTATGATTTTATGATAAATTTTTTTTTATCATTATTTTTTATTATTATTGTTAATGTTATTATGTTCAATTGTAATTCTATTACTCTTATTATTCATGTTATGATTGTTATTATTATTATTATTATTATTATTATTATTATTATTATTATTATTATTATTATTATTATTATTATTATTATGTTCAATTATAATTCTATTATTTTTATTATCAATGTTATTATTGATGTTATTATTGGTATTGTTATTATTATTATCTTGAATTATAATTATATTACTATTACTATTATTATTATTACTATTACTTTCACTTTTATCTTACATAATATTTACATTAATGTGCCGATGATTAATTGATGTCCCATAACAAGTTCGTCTTCATGGGACTGCCCTCAATTTATTTTCCACAATATAAATATGTGTGAAATAAAGTTCATCTTTATTGTGATTTCTTTTTTTTATATCATGTATTTAATTAATTTTAAGATTGTATGTATATTGTTATTTGGGAAATAAATTATTATTATTATTATTATTCTAAATAATACTCTTCACAGTTTAACAGACCCCCTTGACTCCCATTTTCAATCGGATTTCAATAGGCTTCATCCCCTTGTAGAGCTTAATTTTTTCAAAAATTTCAAGTTGATATTATTGTTCGTTTTTAAGTTAGATTTTTTTTAAATATTTTAACCCCCTTAATCTCCCCACTTTTATTCAATTTTTTTTTCACAATCAATAGGCCTCATCTCCTTATAGAGCTTGAGTTTTACTAAAAATTTCATGTTGATATCGCTTTTTATTTTTGATTTATGATTTTTTTTAATTTCAACCCTGTTAAACCCCCTATTTTTATTCAGATTTTTTTTTTCAAAATTAAAGGGCTTCTTCCACAGACTACTGTGTGAAGAGTAGACAAAAATGTATATGGTAAAATAAACAGTTTAAAGAGGTCAACAATAATATTCAACTTGTATTATCAAAGGATACTAAAAGTTTGAAATAGCAGCACATAATTGAAAATTTACAGAAATCTGTGAACTATAATAGTGAGATACACATTATCATACTTAATTCTCCATATAACCCTTTCTATAAGTATTTCACAGCACATTTCAAAAGTATTCTTGCTCTGGCTATTGTCCTACCCTCACTGCTAACTTTTGCACAACTGAGTCCATGTTTACTAAAAAGTAATGTGTTTTAATAAATAATAGAAATAAAAACCAAAATTTTATGATTTTGTCTAAATAGGTAACTCTGCTTCAGCTGTATTTTCAAATTATTGTTTAATTTTAGATAGAATATTAATGTTTTGATATGCACTTATAGGATTGGTTGCCCAGAGCATGTAGTTATGTGGGATGTGACTTGTTCAGTGCCTGTCATAATCACTATAAATGTTTGATACTTATTGCTGTTTTTGGGACATACTTTATTACCAACTGTAAACTAACTTACCAAAAGCCTCATTTTTATTTAATACCTGCAGGGATCCAAATTACCAATACACCTAATATTTTTGAAAATACTAAATTATTAGCAATTACTTACCTCCTTTTAAAGAAATTAATATAAAAATCGAAAATGAAACTATTATTATAAAATCTACAAATAAAATAAAGTATTTGGGAATATATATCGACTCACATCTGCGATGGGAAGAACAGATTAACTATATTATAAAAAAGCTAAGATTCGTCTTACATAAATTTAGAAACCTTTCCACTTTCCTCCATGTGAGATATTTAAAAATCCTTTACTATGCATTAGTTGAAAGTCATTTCTCATACGGTATAATAGCATGGGGTGTAGCAGGTGCCACTTTAATTAATAACTTGCAGAAAATACAAAAAAGTATATTAAAAACAATATTTCACCGACCTAGAACTCACCCAACAATAGATCTTTATCAAGAAGCTGGAGTATTAGATATTTATCAGTTATTTGCAAAAATTATTATTACAAAACAACGTAAAGACAAACACACTTTACTATCAGTAAGTCATGACCACGCAACTCGATATAAATTAAATAATGTTGTAATACCTAAAGCCAAAAAAACTATAGGGCAAAAAAATTATGCTTACCTGGGTCCCAAATTATATAATGAAATACCGTTAGAATTAAAGAGCATTTATTCCCTAAATCTATTCAAAGTAAAAATAAAAAAATGGATATATTCTATCCCTACTGCGAATCTGCAACGTTTTATTTCAACAAATAACGAATGTTATAGTCTGGTTTACTAGTTCAATTTAATAATTTGTCTAGAAAAAAAAAATAGTTGATAAAATGTAAATATTAATATTAAATTAAACTTAGTATTACGTAACTGTTTTTCATATTATTCCAAATATTATTTTTGTATAATTTTTCATTTTTTTTATAATATTGTAATATTGTGTTTTATTAAGACTGCTCGTCCTAAATAACCAATAATAACCCATGCTCAAGGATTCTTTTTGTGGGTGTTTCTGTTTATTTATCTCGAACGAACTTGATATACATTATACATTGTTTTTATATTATTTTTGGTAAATAAATTATTATTATTATTATTATTATTATTATACAAACAACAAAAAAGTCATTAGTTTGTACGCAGACATAATCTACGCTAGGGGGTAACATGATTGATAATTACAGGCAGACATAACTTTATATAAACTATTTAAATGTACATACCATTTCTTAGGTAATACAATGCA